AGGGTGGACACGCCGTGTATACGAATGCTACCGCCTCGTACAATGACGCCGGCGTGCCGCGCGCATAAGATGGAGGTTGGGTAGATGCTACCAAGAGCACCCAAGCCCCAGAGGCGACGCCATCTCGTCGTCATCTCACATGGCTCTTGTTAGCGGGGGAGGAGAACCCTGTATCCGATGCAGGGTGAGAGTGACTTGCAGCCGCGCGCAAAGTGGCCAAAGGAAAGCAGCTGAATCCGGCCGTGGTCAATCATTGGCAACAACATTGGACAGCCTCGTGAGAACTGACGGCACATGTTTGGGGGGGCGAGGTCGCCATCCGTTTGGAGGGTCGTGCGGGCAGGTCACCTGGTGCATCGAGCCCCAATCATGTGGTCTGCCAGACCACCACCATTACGACCTTGTCAGGTCTCCACCACGGCAGCCTGCGGGAAGCGTAACCCCATGATGCGAGGCGGGATCGCCATGTTCGTGCGTGTCTCACTCTTGCCGTCTATTGGGAGGAATTTGCCCGCTACCCTTGGAGCGTGGGTCTTGGGCTGCTGGAGGGTTCGCTCGCTCTCTTTTGGTTATGCCTCGCATACTTGATGCAACCACGACTTCTTACTACCCGCCTGTCTCCTATGCGCACCCGGGGGTACCTTGTGCTTTTTTTAAACCCCCGTCTTGACCTCGCGGGTTGCAGCGTGGTGGGGGTTCAGCGATGCGCGGTATCATGGGATTGCATGACTGTGTTAGTATCTCTAACCCAGTCTGCATCCCGCCTAATGTTTCTATGTCCTGCTACCTTCTGCCGCAGCCCCTGACCCCTTCTCTGCCTTTCCCTCTTCATGATCGACTTGCCATGGGGACCCTTAGAGCTGCCGGTGGGTCGTTTGTCTGCCGCTGCGCATGACCTCTCTGATGCTACGACATGCATCCTGTCTGGCAGAAGACCTTGACCAATATTCAAGACCCCCTTTGGAGCAACTTTGACTATGTGGGTATGGTATTGTTACCACACCTTATCTCTACTCCATGAACTGGTCTAGGCATGGTTTGCGTTTCGCTCCAATATTGCGGCAAGGGTAAGGGGTACTGATAGACTTGGCGCTCGCATTTCATTTTGTGTTGATTTTTCCTTTGAAGACTAAATTGAGGATCTTGCTAGATGGGGATTTTGGGATACATTATATCATAGACGGTATGGATGGACATGTTATGGAACGGATACAGGGAATATGGGGGAACCTGGATGAGTTTTTGGATATTTTCTTATTTTGTTGTTGCTGGGACCGTTTTGGGTTTTGCCAGACTTGTTTTTTCTGTCATCTCTTTTTCGAATCATCTCGAAGCCCCTTCTTTTTGCCTCATCAATCATTTCACATTCGCTTGTCCCTCCCGTGGTTGCGGGACAGGATATCATGGCCTTATTTAGTGTGTGCAGGCTCTCCTGCATAGTGGCATATACCCTTTTTTTGAGCATTATTCATTTATACAATTCTGATCGTGGGGATCTTACCATCTTTTACATGTCAATCCCAGGGAGTGTCTCGGGAAAGGGGTTTCTTTCGTTATGGCTGGCACTGGATTTGGAAACAAAAAAATTAGGGAAAGGATTTTTTTCAACTGACCATCTTGGATGGGATGGGAACGAGGAAGCAGCATTTGGTTGGTTTAAGGTACCAAATGACTTCCTGGCGGAATGGTATGAGGTTGGGTTTATAGAGCATCGTACAGTTTCATAATGATAATTGCATTACACTGAGAATTCTCAATTTCACGCTCCGTTTTATCATGTGAGAGATACTCGCTGAAATACCAAACTTGGCGAGGGAAACATTTGAGGTTATTCACCACACGTAATTGAGGGAGACTCCGGCTTCGTTGGGGACTACTTATCAATGGAATCACTGTTGCACCTCGTTGTTTGTTTGAATTGTCATAATAAATTACCGGCTAATGAATACATAGAGAAATGGTACAAAACGCCAACTGATTATGTATAGTCGCAGAATAGGCCACATATTTTCCCCAATTGTTATTAACGCCGACGTGAAACCTCACCAGACATGCTCGTTTCTCCCCTCCTCTCTCTTTCCTCAATTGTGACCGTCCTTTAGACCTCGGATGGCCACCATGGCGCCCCAAGCACCAGGGTCAGGGGGAAGCTCAGAGCTATCGCTCGATCCGCCAACATACGTCGCGCGGCCGAGGCGAGGGGTCATGGTCTTGGTGGCCTCGGCGCCCTTGACGGCCGCGTCGACACCCTCTGCGAAACTGCCCTTCTCCATAGCCTCGGCGAAGGGGATGAGGGTGTCCATGACGGTGCGGTCGCCGACCTTGGCGGGGGTGTACCGCCTCAGGCTGGACAGGGCGGAGGAGAGTGCGGCGCCCCAGAGGGCGACGGGGCCCTTGGAGGACGCGAGGGGGATGTTGGACTCGACGGCGGCGCGGAGGGAGACGAAGAAGATGCCGAGGATGCCGCCGAGGGTGCCGCCCATCTTGGACTCGACAATCTCCTCGAGCTCGAGGAGGACCTTGACGGCGGAGCCGGGCTTGGCGAGGCCGGCGTCGAGGGCGGAGAGGAGGGCGGTGGCGCCGGTCTTGAGGGTCTCGCCGCAGTCGCCGTCGCCCATGATGGTGTCCCAGCGGGTGAGGTCGGGCTCGGAGTCGACGACGGCGGCGCAGGCGTGGCGGAGCATGGACTCGAGGAGGGCGGGATCGACCTTGAGGTCGCGGGCGTCGTCGACGGGTCTGGGCTGCTCCTTGGGGGCGGAGACGATCTGGTCCCGGCGGCGGCGGCGGGTGGACTGGGCGCCGGTCATGGACTCCCAGTAGGTGGTTGTGCGGACGTCGAAGAAGGCCTTGATCTGGTCGAGGGAGTAGGAGCAGTTTCTTGCGGCGGCGGAGGCATTGACGACGGAGACGGAGAAAGCAGGGGCGTTGAGAGAGGTCTCGAGGAAGCCGCAGACGACGCGGACGGGCTCGATGGACCAGGTGGTCTCGAGCTGCTCGAGGAGCTCGTCGACGAGGGCACCCATCTCGAGGTGGGACATGCCGCCGAAGTTGCTGACGAGGAGGAAGGTCTCGTCGCCGGGGGCGAAGTGGACGTAGCCGCGCTCGGGGTCGGACTCGTCGAGGCAGTTCTTGAGGATCTTGGCGACCAGCTCGGAGGGAGAGGGTGGAGGGGAGAGCTTCAAGAAGCCGGGCTCGTTGTGCGGGCCGGTGCCGAGCTCGACCTCGTCTTCTTTCAGGGTCGCGTGCTCGGTACGGCCGGGGACGTGGCAGTGGTCGAGGGTGGCGGCGATGGAGACGATCTGCTGGGAGAAGGCGACACCGAGGTCGTAGACCTCGTCGAGGGAGCCGCCCGCACCGGAAGCACCGCCCATGACCTTGAGGACACCGATCTGGCCGGCGAGGCCACGGCGACCGACCATGGAGCCACGGCCCTTGCCGACGGAGACATCATCGCCGCAGATGATGATCCGGCAGTTGTGGCCGCGGGCGTTGGCCTTCTCGTTGGCAAGACCGAAGTGTAGGCAGTCGCCGGTGTAATTGGTCACAACGAGAATAGTGCCCTTGTCGCTGGGGACGGCCTCGACGGCGGCAACGATTTGTTTGGTGCTGGGACTGGCGAAGATGTCACCGGGGACAGAGGCGGCCAGCATGTTCTCGCCGACGTAGCCGGTCCAGGCGGGCTCGTGGCCGGAGCCGCCACCGGAAATGAGGGAGACGTTGGCGCGGTTATAGGCAGTATCGTAGACGATGCGGTTGCCCTCGTCGAGGGAGAGGGACGGGTTGTAGGCGATGATGCCGCGGAGGGCCTTGTTGACGAGGCCGTCGGGCGACTCGAAGAGATGGCGCTTGGACATGGCGGGAGATGTGAGGAAGGGTATTAGGAGGGTTAAGCAAAGAAAGAAACACAGAGAAAGCACTCGCTAGAGACAAGATGCTAGGAGATGATGCGTGATGTATGTCGATGGGAGGGGAGGAGGAAAGGAGGAGGAGAGGGAGACGAGACACAGGCGAGAGGAGAGAGAGGGGGTTGTGCGACAGATCGGCTCTTGTGCCTTCTCGTTCCAATTGGGAGCTATGTAAGAATTATGTATGCACGGCAGGCCACTTGTTTACGTAGTAGCAGAACACAGAAGCTCGAGCTCTAGCTCCGATCCGAACTCGGCTTGCCTGGAAGAGGGCGAAAGCTTCTGCTGTCCTCGTGGCCAGAGCCCAGCATCCATTGAGGGTCCGGGGAGTGGGTTCGGCCGTCTGCAGTCGACTCGGCGAGATGATGCTTGATTCCAGGGAAGAGCTGCGAGCGTGTGTGTCTGGGTCGATCGCGGGTTGGGAAGAAGCCCCTCTTTGGCCCCTCCTTTGCGGATCTCGACGATTTTGACGGATGTTGGAGAAGCAGGGATCCGGCAGCCAATGAGAGACCGCTCACTGGATCTAGGACAATAAACTTCTGGAGTCGAGACACGAAGAGAGGCGCGAGAAGGATGTCGGATGTCCGAATCTGGAAACCCGGCCCCCAGAACGGCTCACTCTCCGCCTCTCGCTTTCTCCCTGGCCTTTTCCCCTCCCTGGCCTTTAGCCTGCCAGCCCTCGTCCGTGTTCTATTGTGGTACCGCCGATGTGGGTGACGCAGAGTCTAGAGCATCATGGAGGGGCGACAGCTCTCCTGGCTGACATCGGGATGCTGTTTCGGAGGCGCGCCGTGCCCTTGGTGGAGATTGCTGAGCTGTGGTAGAATGTTTCTTTTTCGGTCAAGGCACTCGGCGGTTGATTGATGGCTAGGAACAAGTGGCTGTTGGATCCTTGTTGGATTCCGGAGTCAGTTGGTGAGCGACGGATGGACATTGGGAGTAAACCGTGTAAGTGGCGGACGGGGTTTCGTTAACTTCTCGATACTGCCCCCTCTGTCCTGTCCGTCTCGTTTCTCTTGTAATAGTTGTTCATCATCACTGTTACTACTCACCTGTTTCTCTTCATACGAATAATACAATACAATACAATACACAATGGCACCTCAATGGAGAATCGTCATGGGCTGCGATGTAAGCATTTAACCATCCACAGACTCACCATCTTCGACTACTGACAACACGCCTACAGGAGGCCGGGCTCTCGTACAAGAACAAGATCAAGGCCGACTTCGAAGCCGACCCGCGAGTCATCTCAGTGGTCGACGTCGGCTCAGGAGCACCCGACGACAAGACGCCCTACCCAACCCGCGCTGCCGCCGCTGCCCGCATCGTGGCCAAGGGCGAGGCTGACAGGGCGCTCCTCGTCTGCGGCACGGGTCTGGGCGTCGCCATCGCGGCCAACAAGGTCAAGGGGATCCGGGCAGTGACGGCCCACGACAGCTTCAGCGTGGAGCGCAGCGTCAAGAGCAACAACGCGCAGGTGCTGTGCTTCGGCGAGCGCGTCGTGGGTATCGAGCTGGCGCGGAAGCTGGCCAAAGAATGGCTGGACCACGAGTTTGACCCGGCCAGCGCGAGCGCCAAGAAGGTGGAGGAGATTTGCCAGCTGGAGGAGGAGGCTTGATTGGGCGATCACGATGGCTGTAGAAAATAGAATAATGCGCTAGCATCTGTTGTACCTGCTACGCCCGCGTCTGCCTGTTTGGATCAGTTGCTTGTGATGCTGGTGATGATGTTCTGTCTGTTTTGTCGGAGGTTTCGCCGATGGATGTCGCTGGAATTTTGGCAGGGCTGCTCCTGCCTTAATTTCCACAATGATAGGTACCAGCTCAATCGCAGTAATTCGCACACAATCGGATGTACCTTCGCACTAGCCACGGGACCTTGCTGGATCAGGCTAGACACAAATACGGCAGAGCATCGCACCTTGAATAAAAGTGCCGATTAAAGATGCCAAACAAGCTTCATTTCATTTCATTTCATGGCAAGTCTCCGAGATAGATGCTCGCTGGATCGCCGAGTCTCGACAAATCTTCCGATGCCGAGTGTTGTCTATGCGCCATCTTCGCAATGGGCTTTCTTCACGACCGCTGGTTTCCCGATGACGATGCAAGGACGAGACAACACACACAAGAATGGGTGTAAAACAGGGTCCAGCCAGACCTGGCTAAAGGCATGGACTGGCTGAATTCGCCCCGCCTTTGCATGCGTCTGCCCCTGACTACATGCAGTATGTCCGCGGATAGCAATTTGGCAACACACAGGTGGGAATACAGAATCTCGGTTCGGTATGGAGAAAGACAAGAAGGTTCTTGAGGCCATGTGACTCGAAGAGACTGCTTCCCCGTCTCTCGGGTCCAGAGAGCCGGTCTTTGGAGGCTGTTCGGCATCCCTGATCAGGATTACGGGCTCCATCAGCCATCCCCAGCAGAAAGAGCGGAGCTGGATGGAGATGGAGGGGTAGCTTAAGCTCGGCGAGCTCGAGAAGAGCTTTGGGCTGGTGTTTGGCGGGGCAATTGGTGATTCACGATCAGTCGATGAACCTGCCAGCAACAACTCCAAGCAGCACATCACCATACCTTAGTTGGCGAGCGTCTTTTTGTCAATTCCTCAGGCTCATTCTGTGATCAATACTAATTCATCATACTTGGCGAGACAGATCGCTCTCAATTGATCGCAGTCACATCTCACTTGAGCTCACCAGCTACACCTCATCTACAGACACACCAACACACGCAGGCCGTACTATAACCTCACAAATGGCTGCTTCCGAGCCTCCGCGCCGCCGCATCGTCGGCCTCTCAACCAAGATGTACTTCTCCCTCGCCCGCCAGGCCGAGTTCACCTCCGCCGCCCTCACCAGCCTCGCAGCCGTCTCCCCGACCTCCCTCTCAGCCGTCGACGTCTTCATCATCCCCGACTTCCTCAACATCCGCCCCACGGCCGACTCCCTCGCGGCCTCCGGCATCTGGGTCGGCGCCCAGGACTGCCACTGGGACGACTACGGCGCCTTCACCGGCGAGGTCTCCCCCGCCGCCCTGGCCGACAGCGGCGTGCGTATCGTCGAGGTCGGGCACGCCGAGCGCAGGAGACTATTCGGCGAGGACGACGCCGTCACGGCCAAGAAGGCGGCCGCCGTCGCGCGGAACGGCATGATCCCCCTCGTGTGCATCGGCGAGAAGACCAAGGGGGACGTGGCCGTGGCCGTCGAGGAGTGCCGGGTGCAGGTCGACGCCGTCATGGCCGGGCTTCCGTCTGAGGATGCCGAGGTGGTGCTCGCGTACGAGCCCGTGTGGGCCATTGGCGCGGCGCAACCGGCGGGCGAGGAGCATGTGCTGGCGGTAGTGGCGGGGATCCGGGACCTGGAGAGCGTCAAGGGGAGGAGGGGACTTACGAGGGTGGTGTATGGCGGCAGTGCTGGTCCGGGGCTGTACGAGAAGCTCAAGTCTGGCCTGGATGGTCTGTTCTTGGGGAGATTCGGGCATGATCCTCAGCAGTTTGCCAAGACTGTCAAAGAGGTGGCCGAGGCGTGAGGAGGAGATCGAGATTGGGCATACGGTACTTAGAGTAAAATTGGGCTTGGGCAGGCTGCTTTGATTGCTTCGTAATTATTTAATAGAACTGCAGATCATGAAGTATCAATTTGGTGTCGAGATGCTCGATGCGACCTGTTGATATTCCTATGGCGTGATTGATGCTCAATTGGCACCCGAGAGCCTACAATGACACTGACAGCTTGTTGATCAATCTCGATGCCGTTGATACCCCATAATCTGACACATTCCTGACACATTCTATGTAGACGTTTCGGCTATCTCATCGCCGGCTACGTCCGGGTTACGGCCCGCGGAGAGGGTCACCCTCGGCCACTCCAATAGAAGTCATCCCGAAGCCAGCCGAAGTCGACCATCTTCCCTACCACACACTAAGTAATGAAATGTGACGTGGCAGATGCGGTTGCGTCAATTGTCAATCATCGAACGCTCATCGGTCCAGTTACCCCTCTTCCCCGCCAAGAGACCTGAGCAATCGCGGGATATATAAACTCGAGACTCGGCGACTTGGGGCATTGCTTCCTTTCAACGTGATACACCAATTGTGAACACACTTTCAAAACTCGCAAATCAAACAAGCTCCCAAGCTTCAAAATAACTTGAAGAAAAGTTTGTATACAACATGGCCATCTCAAGATGGGTGAGCAGGACTGACGATCATCACTGACCAGTTTGTACCTACTCTGGTAAACATCTGCCGCCCCTGAACCTCTCAGCAGAGGAGCAGCCGCCGTCATGGCACCTTTCAGCAGGAATATATTATCCATCAACGATTGTTGTATCACAGGTAAAGTTCAAATGCGTGAGCCGGTGCCCGCACCTCCGGGTCATCGATGAAAGGGGTCAGTGATGGTTCACAACCGTCATCCCTCTCATCAATGGCTAGGGGGAGCGTGGCTGAGATTATACGGCCAAGGAACTTGATCTGGATAATACCAGCGAAAGAATCATGCTCTCACCCCTTCCACCAAACCTCTCCTCACCAACAGGATAAACTGACACCCATCCCCAGATCCAAGATGAGTCCCCCCGCCGCCATCTCTCCCACCCTCGCAACCGCCACCCCCGTGGCATCCAAGCAGGCCAGCCACGACGGCGCGGTGAAGAAGCACGACGTCTCCGTCGCCGACATGCACGGCAACTGGGACGCCTTCCGCTTCGCCCCCATCCGCGAGAGCCAGGTCTCCCGCGCCATGACGCGCCGCTACTTCGCCGACCTCGACGCCCACGCCGAGTCCGACGTCGTCATCGTCGGCGCCGGCTCCTGCGGCCTCAGCACCGCCTACGTCCTCGCCTCGCGCCGCCCGGACCTGCGCATCGCCATCGTCGAGGCCTCCGTCTCCCCTGGCGGCGGCGCCTGGCTCGGCGGGCAGCTGTTTTCCGCAATGGTCATGCGCAAGCCCGCCGATGCTTTCTTGCGCGAGGTGGGCGTGCCCTATGAGGACGAGGGGAATTATGTTGTTGTCAAGCACGCGGCGCTGTTTACTTCCACGCTGCTGTCAAAGGTGCTGGCCATGCCTAATGTGAAGCTCTTCAACGCCACGTGCGTCGAGGACCTCATCACGCGGCCTGGCGAGGACGGAGACGAAGAGGGGATCCGCGTCGCGGGCGTGGTGACTAACTGGACGCTCGTGTCGATGCACCATGATGACCAGTCGTGCATGGACCCCAACACCATCAACGCGCCCGTCGTCATCTCCACTACGGGCCATGACGGGCCGATGGGCGCCTTTTGCGTGAAGCGGCTCGTGAGCATGCAGCGCATCGAGAAGCTGGGCGGCATGCGCGGGCTGGACATGAACGCCGCCGAGGACGCCATCGTCAAGAATACCCGGGAGATTGTGCCGGGGTTGATCGTCGGGGGCATGGAGCTGTCCGAGGTTGATGGGGCGAACCGTATGGGTATGTTTTGACTGCTTTATGATCCCTTTTTGCCTGATATTAGATGGTGAGCTGACATTTGTGATGCAGGTCCGACTTTTGGTGCCATGGCTTTGAGTGGTGTCAAGGCTGCCGAGGAGGCTCTCAAGGTCTTTGACCTTCGCAAGAAGCAGAATGAGTTCTAAACAGGCATGGTTAAAGTGTTGACGGTACACGACGCGGTTGGCCTACAGTTATGGATTGAATCGTTCTATCCACTCGTTTTGAGAGTCATGTTCGCTCCTTTCTTCGACGCTGTTGCGGCGGCTCGTATGTTGATGAAGAAAAGTAGTATTAGCATACAGTCGTTGCTTACTTGAATGTGTCCTTCATAGCACGAAAGAGAATAAACGGCTCGTCATCGTCATGAGCACTGTATCAGAGTGATTCATCTTAGAAAACACCAGTGACGCATTCACCCCCGTAAAGAAAGCTCAAGAAAGTTTCAAGTTAGTAGATCATGAATGCTAGCCATCGTTCCCGTATATACCATGTCTCCAAGGCAAGTGATTTCCGGCCAGAAGCAGGCCTTGACCACGTTCAAGACCCCTGCGTCGTCCGGCCTAACATGGCATTGATCAGTCGGCTGGGTTTCGTTGGAGTTATCGCTGCTTGTCTACTGTACATGCTCACTCACCAGCGGCTTCCAGGGCATTGAGTGGCTCACCATGACAAATTGCCGAGAAGAAAAAAGACTGATACCAGCATTGATACAGCAGCTCCAAGTCTTAGAGAGGGGTTTCGAAGCCCGGGGATGTCTGGTTTCTCATCATCGCTGTCAACTACGATTCTGGGACCAGTTTCTGCCTTGCATACCACTCACTCGCCGCAAATGTCGCCTCTTGTTGCATATAGAAACCAGCTACCCTTGGAAGGATGGCCGGCGTGGTGAGCAGGGCCCGAACCCCCAGCTAAGCGAGGATGCCGCTGATACCATGTTCATAGGCAAGAGAAAGAGGCCATCCTTGCAACCAAGTCTGCGCTTACTGCCCAACGTCACGACTTAGTACTATATCTTGTCACTGCTAAGCTCCGCGGAGACAACCCTTTCTAGTATGTCCAGCCTTGCTCACAGCCTATCAAATGCCTTGCTCCTGATGTTGGCTGGCAGACTGAACAACTGCAGTGGTTCGGCTTTGACGGTAGAGGTAGGCAGCGGTAGGGTGCGATGGCAGTTGAAGAGCTCAAGGCTGTCTGTCATATCCATGTCGGCACTCGCGCGATTTTCCCACGAGCCCAGCGTACAACGTTGGCCGGGAGCCTGGAAGCGAAGTTATGCAGGCTGACCGCAGGCTGCTTGCCTCTATATTTATTCCTTAGCGCCTGCAACTTACAGCTTTATAATACCTACGAATATATAAATTCTGTATTTTTTCCTTTTAATTCTTTCAAGTCAGATCACAAATTTTTATATTCTACAAATATTTCTGATTACCAGGCAGTACTAGTTGTACTATAATAGTACTAATTAAAGCTCAGCTTCATAGTTACTAAAGCGTGAAGTAAGAAGCATATAATCAAAACTTCCGTAAATATGCTAACAGGGCGTCAATTCAACTGCAGTAGACCTTTTCTGTCCAGGGACCCTGTCGACTTCGTAAAGAGGCCAATCATGAGCTTCGTGACAATCGAAGCTGACAACCAATCCTTCTCTAAACCTTTCAGTAAGACGAGTCATCTTCCTAAAACTGGTATATAAGTCCGCCTATATCCCTGCACTCCGAGCTGAAACACCCCGCAAGTCGAGCTGACACAAGTCACCCGGCAGAAATCCTCAATCGTGGGTGTTAGCAAGTCGCAGGGCTATAAGTTTGGGTATAGCCCTTGTCCTGAAATGCCTGTCGTTCTCCAACATAAAGAACAATGCATGCCCATGCCCGATCTCTGTGCTTTGATCTTTGATCGATGATTTTTGCTCTTTGGTCGATGATCCTCTTTCATCCAGGAAAGCGTTTTTTGGAAGCTTTCCCTCAACTCTAGAGTGTAGGCTTGCGCACGCACGCAATATATCATGGATCGTCGACTCTCTCTATCCATCGCGGTCATTTTGGCCTGGCACGTCACATCCTGCCACGCTCTTGGCCGTACCACAGATCAATTCGTGGACTATTTTCCGACCTTTGACGCTTTTACCAAACCGCACATTCTCACAAGATGCCGCGAGGAGTACAGCAACTACACCGATGGGTCTCTCGAGGAGCCACCAGGCCGACACATATACTCTGGCGCTCTACTCGACTGTATCCTTGACCAGGTCTTGACAGAGACCGAGAAGGCGGGAATGGCCGTTACCGGCATCCTGTTTGCCCTTCTTCCCGTCCTCCTCGCCAACATTGGCCCCACGGTCTCGGAACTCAGCTTCCTGGCTGTTCGCAGACCGATCCTGGCCGCCCTGCTGGCGTACGGATCACTGTCGCCAAACCCTGCCTCGCCCATGAGCTTCGAAGATCTCGAAGAGCTTGTCGAGAAGAGGAAGAAGACTCGTGACCCATTTGCCAAGCTGAGATTCCTGAAGAGACCCAACCCCTTGGTTCTGACCATCATATCCGTGGGCCAATACGCCATCGGCATAGCAGCGACAGCCAACTCCTTTTTCCAGATCTGGAGGCTTACATACAGAGGGGTATCAATCGCCCCCATTGTCGTGTATATCGCAGGCTTACCAGAAGAAACCACGCTCTTCGGTTGGGCCGTCCTCTCTCTGCCTGTCCATATCCTTGGATTCATGGCCTTCCGTCTCGCCTATCTCCGCGAGCCCGCCTCGTCAAAGGGTGGTCGATTCCGCCGCATGCTTATTCACGAATTCACACCCAGCCTGTACAAGACGGGCTTTGACCTGCAGCCCCGGGAAAACTTGGTAGCCTTGCAGGCATTCTTCAGCTTCGCCGTTCGCCTTGTTTCCAGTCTGCACATCATAGCCGGCTCTGCACTCTTGGGCAGCGTCTACTTTGTGTTTCTGGCCGACTCGCTGATTGTCATTTACAGCTTTGTGGCCTCGGCCATGGCTACCAGGCTGGTCCTCGAGTTTGAACTTCTTGGGCTGGGGAGAGCACTCAGGGAGCGTGAGGCGGAGTCATCTGATGGCGGGATTGGCGCCTCGGGCCCTCTCCTCGTCAATTCAAGCAAGACGGAGAACCAATTCTAAGGCTGTTGCAATTACTGCCTGATGAAGGGTGACTACACAAAAAGGCCTGTCAGGCACGTAGGAGGAAAGGTCATCAGCCGAAGCATTGAATACCTTAGGCCAGGCAAGAGGCTGTCAGTCACAGTGAACAGGTTAAGAGCGATTGTCACGGCCCGCGCTGCTGAAGGATCCAAGATCGTGCGCCATCGACGAAGCTGCACATGTCAGCTCCC